GAGTTCTAAGGGTTGAAAGTTTTGGAGCACCACTAAAATATAGGTTTAAATATCATTTTGGTCCCTCAACTTTTTAGTTTGGTATCAAAATTATCTCTAAACTTTAAAAAGTACTAAAATTATCTTTAAACTTTCATTTTTGATACCAAAACCATCATTCCGTCAGTTAAATACACAGGTGACACGTTAACTTACCAGCAAATCAATTCTTTTTTTCTTAATTGGTGACATGGGAAAAAAAAAACATAGTTGGCAACTTTTTTTTATGAGTTGTCATTTTTATTTAATTTAAAAATAATGATTTCTTTTTTTTTTTTTTCATCCACATCATCTCTTCTTTCTCTTTCACTTTCTCTCTCGTTTACATTTCCTTTTCCCTTACCTCTGCAAATCCAAATCTGGGTTTTTATAAATGAAAATCACGGTTGAAACGAATTGCCAAAGGAATTCATGCTAAGAAGTTTAAATAGAAGTATCTAGTTGAATTACATCTTTTCCTTATTCGTTTTCCTTTGTTCTTGAGTCCAGCTAAATTGATTTTCATTCAATTTTCTTGAGAAAAAAAAAAAATTTCATCTTCTTCCTCCTTTCCTCGTTCAATAGCTTTGCCTCCTCAATCTCTATCAACCTTCCTCCTTGCTTTCCTTGCTCATCTTTCTTCTTTCTTCTTCTTTCTCAAACCCAGATCTGGGTTTTTCTCACATTCGACACTCACTCCCAACCGTCCGATCTCCTTCTGAATGCCGCCAAAAACAGTGCCCCTCATCGATCTATGTGATTACCACCACACCTGATCAAAGAGGTCATTTCATCATTTCACAGCAACCAGAAAAAGGAAAATTATTACTCATACTGTAACACTCCATACACGCAAACATTAAAAAGAAAAGGATCATTACTCATACTCATGTTTATAACATAACTTAACGATGAATCAATCAAGAGGACCGACATTGACCAGACCCGGCTGTTGGTTTTGGGCCGTTTGGTTCTTGCTTTGGTCGGAGCTCATAAAACAAAGCACGATGATTTTACCGAAACGGATTTTGCATGGCTGTCTGTCTTCTGTTTACTAGATGAACACAACGGGGGGGATTCCGGCAGAGAATCATCGACAAATTGAGATACCCATTCAAGGTTGGCAACATCATCAGCCTATAAATTCCGAAAATTCAAAACGTTGTCTTTAATTTTGATCATAAACAAAAGAAATACAACTTGTGATTCTTTCTCAGAAAAAAAATGAATTACCAGAGCAAAGAGTTCATCAATGAGGAGAGAATCCAAAGAGAAACCGGCAGAATTGGGGTTGTTATCTTGAGATGGAATAGAAAGGGAGTCATTTTCTTCTTCTTCTTGCTCCTCTTCTTCGACGTAGCCTTCGTCTTGTAATTATTATGTGATTGTTTAATTTAAAATTTCTTAATTACCATGTCATAGGGATGGAGCATGGACATGGAAGCAGCCATGAGACAGTAGAGAACGATGACAATGATGACGGAGCCAAAAACTCCTTCGTTCTTTAAGTCCAGCTAAATTGATTTTCATTCGGTTCTCTTGAGAACAAAAAGAAGGCAACAAACAGAATGAGATCGTGTTCACCAGATTTTAAGTATTAGAGGATGTAATCGGCACTAATCGAGTCAACGTGAAGGTCAGAAAGAGAAGCAGTGGGGCCAGACGACGTACGAATTTCTTTGACTAAACCTAAGGATAGCAGAAACTCCAAGAGCTTGGTGCGATCACAACGGTAACGTTGTAGGAGAGAATCTAGATCTGGGTTTGAGAGAGGAAGAAGAAGGGAGAAGAGAGAGAGAGAAAGAATAAGAAAAAGAAAGAAGAAGGATGAACAGGGAAAGGAAGAAGATGAAGTTGGAGAAAGAAAACTCAGATTTGGGTTTGCAAAGGTAAGGAAAAAGGCAAGGCTAAGATGAGAGAACGTGAAAGAGGAAGAAGAAATATTTTTTTTGATGTGGATGAAAAAAAAAATATTATTTTTAAATTAAAAAATTGACAACACATAAAAAAAAAAGTTACAAACTATGTTTTTTTTCCCATGTCACCGATTAAGAACCAAAGAATTGATTTGCTGACAAGTGAGGGTACCACCTGTCATTTAACTGATGAAAGGACGGTTTTGATATCAGAAATAAAAGTTTAAAGATAATTTTGATACTTTTTAAAGTTGAAGGACAATTTGTGTCAAAATAAAAAGTTGAGGGAC